CGACCTGGATGCTGGGCAATGGATTATCGTCTCAGATTGGTCTTGCATTACCGTTTGGTCCATTGCAGAAATGCCTGAGAGGGCATCGGCCCGCGCTGTTGTTTAAACAGAGAAGGGGAATTTATGTAGAGAGCGAGGAAGAAAGAGGAAAAAAAAATATGAAGGCAAAAAGAAAGTCGGAAAGTGAGGCTATGGTTTTTAGAAAAAAGAAGAAAATGAAGAAAAACTCTCTGCCAAGCTTCCCGCTCCACTTAAGCCTGGCTGTGTTATTGGTATCTAACCAGCACGGTCCCGAGGCGGATAATAATCATACTACTACCTTAGTACTCCGTACTACGGAGTGCCTCCCTAAAAGTATTAATAAATGCTGGGTCGCTGACATACCTTAATGCTGAACTTCAACAAAATTGCTGCTACCAGCCTGCTGTTTATTGAGATTGTCCAACAAATTCAGCAGTTCACGACGTCTTCAGGCCTAGGGTAAGGTACTAACCCAATTACGAACTTCCGAGGCGCGTGACAAGCAGATTAATATCAGATCAGATCCAAGGTCCATTCTTCATTGGACGATAGTAAAAGTAATTAAAAGACTAATTTCGAAATCTTATTCATTTCTCCACCCTACAGAAGGTAAAGCACCACTCTAGATCAACCCCAATGTGTAAATATGGGCTTTCCTCAAGAATTTGTGCACGCCAGGATAACTAAGGTGTTTCCCATAATCCGGATACCCTAGTGCCTCAAAGTTCCACCAGTTCAACTGCCCTCTGAGGCCAGTACTATATTTCTAATCGCGAACTCTGATGAAATCAAGTGATAAGCAGACCTTATCGCATTCTATGGACATGATGTCTCGCTGACGATTGTCCGGCTCTCAGAGAACTTTCTGAGAGGACTTCTGAAGAGTCATCAACTACATCTCTCCTCAAATAAGGTGCTCATGACGGTCTGAAACCATCACATATGCCAGTTCTTCGTTGCCTGATAACGTCACTTCAAGGAGACTGTCGAGGCTCATCTGCACAGGAACTTCTATTGTCACCACTTAGGCCAGCTCGAAGTAATGATTGCGATGTGGGTTTTGTACGTGCGTGGCTATATCTCGAAGATGTTTCGTGGCTCTCAATTCCTAGGTTCTTATGTTGCTTGAAAACGTCATCCTGACGCTGTGATCTTGCGGCAGACATGGCCGTATGCGCCGGATTTGCGGTACTATAACTTGACCTGATTATCTTCCTAAATTCTTTTCTCGCGGATTAACTTGTTCAGAAAGCTGCATTTTACCTAATATACGCAAGTTGTGAGTTGTCAATTGAGATCGTCCGAATTGCTACTGGATCACGGCCATGCAAGAGTACACGGAAAAGCCAGCAAGCGGTGCTGAATCACAATTTCAGCCTGGTGAGTCCGCATCTTCGAATCAACTTTGGCCATGCTCATCAGTACTGCAGGTCACCGGATCCCAATCCAGCATCAGAAAAAGCCTGGGCTACAGGCGGAACTGGAGGATCCCAAGCCTGCGTCAACCCGCATACCGACCGACGACTATGGATACCAGACATATAAGGCAGCTGGGAAACTCGCTGGAAAGAGAGCTATCATTACGGGTGGCGACTCTGGGATCGGTCGCGCTGTTGCCATACTGTTTGCAATGGAAGGGGCATCTAGCCTAATCGTATACTTGCCCGAGGAGGAGGTAGATGCTCAAGAAACAAAGAGACGAGTGCAGGAATCTGGAAAAGAATGTCACTGCTTGGCAGTAGATCTCCGGAAAAGGGAGAACTGCCAGAAAGTGGTCGACGTCGCCCTTCAGTGTCTGGGAGGAATTGACATTCTGGTGAACAACGCTGCGTTCCAGAACATGGTCCAAGATATCAGCGAGCTAGATGAGTATGCTCCGATTCCCAACATAGTATTTTGAGCCCCTCTTCACTAGCTGCGCCCCCACAGCACCCCAGAAGAGAGAGCTCTCGCATGAGCTGATCAAATTGATCGTCTCGTTAGGGACCAATGGCATCGCACCTTTGACACAAACATCCATCCTTATTTTTACTTGTCGAAGTACAGTCTACCACATATGCGATCTGGCTCGACGATCATCAACTGTTCATCTGTTAACCATTACATTGGCCGAGGTGACCTCCTTGACTATACATCTACGAAGGGCGCAATCGTTGCGTTCACTCGAGGATTGTCCAACCAACAAATTGGGAAAGGAATTCGAGTCAACTGTGTGTGCCCTGGTCCAAGTAAGTTTCGATGTCAGATAATTGCAAAGGTTGTCTCTAACATAGCTTCTAGTCTGGACTCCCTTGATCCCATCCACCATGGATACTTCTGCGATGGAACAATTCAGCTCCGTGCCCATGGGTCGCCCGGGCCAACCTAGCGAGGTTGCAACATGCTTTGTTTTCCTTGCAAGTCATGACAGTAGCTACATTTCGGGGCAAAGCCTGCACCCCAATGGCGGTGTCATGGTCAACGGCTAAGCCGTTGCCTCAAGCGATCTCAGGCTCACAACAAAGACGAACAGGTACCTGAAGGCTAGGGCGCCAGACCGCTTGAACCATTTACATTCAATGGTTGGTGGCACGTTTGTCAGAAAGAGAGATAGCAAATGATAAGCCCGTGTTATCTGGTAAATTGAGCAAAATCCGAACACCGAAGACATATCAGTCAAAAGCACAATTTGGCTCGTTGTATGCACTGGTATGTCTCCTAGGTACGTAAGAATACAATGCCATAGTCAATATTTTCCAAGGTTTCATGGTATCCACCCATTCCTCGAGTACAATATTAACGGCGGTACCACATGCGTGTGATTCTTGTATGTCTCATCTTCTTCTGGAGCTGGAATATTCCATACATCAATGCCTCGGATGTCGGTGGGCCTATATCCCGTCAGCATAGCTCTCACGCCAGAATAATCTGAAGTACGAGTCAAGAGGGAGGGTCGACGAACATCCAGGGACATAAACATCGACAGGAACAATCCTATCACATCCTCGTACAACCGAGTAGCTGTAATGATAGTAGCCGCCACCATTCGCACAACTTCCCATGCTGATGACCCAGCGTGGATCAGGCATCTGATCGTAAACTTGTCGAAGGGCTGGTGCCATTTTGTTGGTCAATGTACCAGCCACGATCATCACATCTGACTGGCGAGGTGAAGCTCTAAAAATAATTCCCAGGCGATCTTGGTCGTATCTAGGTGTCGACAGATGCATCATCTCGACAGCACAACAGGCGAGACCGAAGGTCATCGGCCACAAGGAGCTTTGGCGGGCCCAATTGGCGACTTGGTCAAGCGTGGTACTACATGACAGTGTCAGTACGATCGGACGTTCAGTATGCATGTACATAAATGATGCAGGACACGAACAGGACATATTGCATTGCACCCTCTTTCTTTTCCTGGCTCGGCAAGGGCACCTCCTTTCGCACCTTTCCAGATGCAGTCAAAGGCTGCCCGGACTGCGCCTGACGCTCGAGTGCCGTCGCTGATTTGACTGGAGAGGTGGACAGCAATGCAAGCTGCTGAGCTCTGAAGAGGCATGGAACTGTAACCGATCGCGCTACATCAAATGAGCCGACGAATGCCAGGAGACAAAAAAAATAGACGTACCGCGGAGAGCGCCCAGAACGGCGCGCCTAGATGTAGAGAGCATACTGGATAATACTTCTGCCTTGTCTGTGGCGCCTGTTACTCAGATAAAGAAGTAGTTGGTGACTAGAGGGGAACAGAACCTCTGTTGCTCAAAGGCCCTGCAAGCCCAGTGGCAATGAAATGGTTGAGATATGAGTTGAGAGTGTTCCGTTCCGGCCCCAAACTAGGAAGGTAACGCCGTCGCGCCGAAGATGACCGAGCCTATGGCCGCTCGAGCTTAGTAACTGGAAGATAATACGGTTCTAAGTTCAACGTCCTCACATGTCTTCGAAGTTCGAACCCCAGATGGTAATAATATCGCACGTCAGAACATATGTCTAATCGCAGAAAACCCTACGATGATGACATTCAT